GGCCCGACCCCCGCTCCGCCCCCGGAGCGGCCCGGACAGCGGAGCCCCGGCGGGGGCGGGAGCCAGCAGCTGGGGTCTTGCGCCATCCCCGCAGCTCCCGGGACCGCCTGCAGCAACACGGTGAGCGTCTTGCCCTCCACCCGCCCCTCGCCCTGTGCCAGCCCCAGGCAGGGTTTTGACTTTTCTCTGTTTTACCCCAATTGCATCAGCTGGCTTTCGGGCCTTTTGCTTTTTACGATGTGTATTGCTGGGATATGTATTAGAGACTGTGAAAGCAAAAAAACCCCACATCTCACTGATGGATGGGTAAAATGACTTTTGTGATGGCTCTTACTGCTGGTGGGAAGACACTTCTGGTCACCGCAACCGACACCTCTGCGCCTGTCTGTGCAGGGAGGGTTAAGAATGGAGGAGCAGTGATTTCTCAGAAAACCAGCACTACAAGAAATGAAAAGGCAAGCAGAGAGGTTTATTTTTTTTATCCAATATATATAATTACCAAACTAGCTTCTGCATTCAGGACTTTGAGCTCCACAGTTGATAAAAGGGACCCCAGCAGGCTGGCTCACAGGGACAGTCTAATCTACAGATCAGAGGTGTCTAATCTAGAGATCAGAGGTTTCTCAGAAGCTGAGCTACTGTCCAGTGAGGGTTACATGTGCTCATTTACAGCAAAAGGTTATGAACCGGCTAGATTAAAAGGTCATCTTGTTTAAGGCACAGCACTGTTGTGAAAATTGACCCTGTATAACATAACTTTTTGGTTTTCTACAGTTCTAGACAATCCTAGTGAAAACTGATGGAATTGCTCATTTTTTTGCTGGGGGAATTGCTTGGCCTTCACTGCTGCTAATGAAGACAATACTGGCACGAGGAGCAGTGTGTATAAACCAGCCAGCAATAAGGCTGGAAAGATTTCTAGGAGAGAGATTGTGAAGAGAGAGACCCAACTGGAGAGGGGATGGGGCACAGCAGGCTGGCAGGGGGTGACTCCTTGCAGTGGTAAGCAGTAATACAAATGCTCCCTTCGAATCCAAGAAAGCAGCAGAAGAAATAACCCAGGAAAACTGTTAGATTCCAGGGTAAATTTACAGAAAGATATAATTTTGTGAATAGAAGAGCTGATCCCGAGTTTGTCACTGAAACAAAGGCAGTGGGGGTATTCAGCCACCTGGCAAACCCCGGGTGCAAGCCCACCACTGCCTGATTGCTGGCAGTCATTGCCTCCAGGTAAGATGCCATTTAGGATCCATTTTTCCATTTCTCTCTCATTCCTTCAAATACTAAAAATCTCTTCCAATTCCAAGGCCAAAAAACCCCACGACAAGAAACCAGCATATCAGAAGGCCTCCAGAAGGAAAAGAGAAGATTCAAGCATCGGATGTCAGCAATTACAACAGGACATGGAGCTGTCACAAACATCTTTAATGATATGCGTTGTCCTTCACTCTTGATGGTTCACCATGTGAATGGCAGATTGTTCACGGCCTCCCAGAGTTTTTAAACTAAAGACATTTGTTTTATTGTTTCTGTCTTGGAGCAGGTGATTAAAATGCTTGTAGGGGGATAAACATACAACCAGAAGAGGACAACACAGCAGCAAGTACTCTCAAACATGCTCAGCCTTTGGAAAATCATGGTAGTTTTTTTCCCTCCTGCAGACATTTGCACGTGTCACCATCCACTTAGCAATTCCACTCTCAAAATTATAAAAAAAATCAACCACTTCCCATTTAAAATTTAACTCAGTTGTAGACAATATTTTGTGAATAAAACATCAATAAAAACATATTATTCAGCTACTGTTTGGGAAGAAAAGAAAGGAAGGGTGGGAATAAATGTATGCCTTTTTCTAATATTTTTGGTTCATGAAAAGAGAGGGCCTTCAGTCAGGTCTCTCGTCTTTATAGAGAACATAATCACAAAACAAAATTTCCTGCTAATGCAAGCTGAAGTATACAATGGAAATCTCTTTCCAGACAGGGAATTTAAAGATCTCCCTAGGCTCTGAACTAAATCAGTAGTTATCTAGAACTGAAACCTTAGCGAAAAACATCACCAGAACACATCAGGTTTTATAGAACTTACTAGCAGAAATGTCACTAGCCAAGACACGGTAGTACTGGAAAGGAAAGAAGCTATTTGATTAGTGAGAGAAGCCATTCCTGAATTATTTACTCATTTTGTCTTATTCCTTCCAGGAAGCATTCCTGGGCAAGGATTTCAGAGTAAGGTTCAAGGGCAACAACAACTACTTATGAACGGAAATATGCAGAGATATATATCCACCAGTTTCTGCATCCTTTACAATTTGCTATTTTCAACTGAAGAAACTAGAAATGGTCGGATTCTCCCAGTTTTACCTCATAAACACAGCGAAGAAAAAGAGCCCAAAAGCTTCGAAACAACTCTCTGCCCTTTTATTGTGATGCATATGTTGCTCAATGCCACAAAATCTTTCTTATTACTTCAGCTGCACAGGGTGACTTACTTGGTGAACTTCCAACCAAAAGAGTCTCAGAGGAGCACGTCTAGATTTATTCCCCCTCTGCATTTTCTAGGAGAAATGTGGATTGCTATTACAGTATTACTGCAGAAAAAAGCAATTTGATTGCTGGCACATGTCAAGAAATCACTGTGAATGCATTTTTTCAGTGTATTCCCTATGTAATAGCAACAGAGTACTCTAGGTAGGCAGTTATTCGAAGGCTGTGGCCACCCTCAGCTTTTTGAAGTTTCTTGGTCTTTACTGCATGAATCTCCAAGAACAGCCCCTGCCACATGTGTACTGGCAGACCGAGCACCAGCGAAACCCAGGCTTTCAGAAATGAAGAGTAGTGATTAAACTGAAGAATTATGAAGATTCACAATTGTAGATGAGTATGAAGAAACTTCTCACAGGAACCTAAAGGCAAATAGGAGTGTGGAATGTACATGGATAGCCAAGCAAGATGCCTCAGCAATAAGAAACTTTAAAATAAAAAAACCCCAAAAATTCAAAGTCTTTTTTCACTTTTGTGACCGCCTGTAGTTTTGTGCTGTACTTGTCTGTGCAGACACGTGCTGGGAAGGTGAGGATCAGGCATGCTTTGCAGTGCTTGCCACTTGTGAGAAGGAGCTGAAAATATTAAAAACACATGAAAACAACGCTCATCCTATACAGTTCTCTAATGTTCCCAGTTTGCAGGCTGGCTCAAATTTTGTCAGGAAATACCATTTGTGTCTCTACCATCTCTGAGAAGACTGACACTGAAATAAAACCCAGATGCACATGTTAAGTGACCTGTAGGGCCTCAGCCTTTTGTACAGATTTAATGTTTCAGGTCTTAAACCTTCCCTAGCTTCCACCCCCAAAGATACAGGAAAGGCCTGGGGGCGGGGGGGGAACACTGCAATTTCTGTGTTAGAATTACAGTGCTCTTTCCAGTTACATATAGAACTGGAGGTCAGAGAAGAAGTCAAAAAAAAAAAAAGGGCAGGAAAAATGGTAAGCCAGGTTAATTCATTTCAACATCTTCATCAACACAGGTGCCAGATGCTCTTTCAGCTGTGGATCAATTTGAATGTTGCTCAGTTCTTTGATATTGAGGATCATCTCATGGGCTTGGAAGAAAAGCTCTTTCCCCACAGCATCCTCCACCCGCCTGCGCCACTCCATCAGCCTTGGTCTGTCTTCAAAGATGTCGCAACCAACTCCAACAGGCTGCAGAAAGGGGGAGAGAGCAACAGCAAGGCATTGGGCAGTCACTTCTTCACCAAGACAACAGGCACCAGAAGTGTACCTGCAGGTGCAGGTAGAGGAAAAAAAATGAAGAAGACCTCATAGAGGAGCACTAGGAAGAAGGGAAATCTCCTCTGGTTGGGTGTATCTATCTGGGGGACACACAAGCTAGCCTATATTTTAAAGGGCATTTACAAGTCAATTCCTGAGTGCCGGAACAGCTGTTATGAGCAGCAGAGATGACTACCACTTATTGTGAGTAATTTTCAGCTACAGCATTGAAGACGTGGTGGGCTGACAGTTCCAGGGGCAACTGCACAAGTCCGCAGTACAGAGTGCTATATTATATAGCAAAACCACAGCACAAAACGCTAAGCGTTTAATGGAACTGATGTCTTAGTTGACATAATCTACCCCCCTTCTACTTTCTGCCTGTGCCATGCTCTGGAACACAATGCTGAATGCAGAACTGCTATTTTTCAGTCTCTGGGATACGGAACTGGGAGAAAGAATCACTGCTGGGCTGCAGGATCCAGGCCCTGACAGTCTGGCAGAGAACAACCAGTTTGTAACAGACTTAATTTGATTGCCTCTGTCTGAGATTCAGTCTTGCATCTTCCAGACATGGCATGGGCAAGAACCATCCAAAAAAGAATATTCTTGTATGATAAAAATATCCCTGTATCATTTTCTTATTTCATCAGACTTGTCTGCTATTGCTTCTCACTTTTATATATTACCTCCTTCTCTGGAGGTCAAAAATAAAGTCACGATAAAGGATGAAGGAGAAGAAGTATTGTTAGAGAAGAGAAACAAGAGAGATCTGTTGCAGCCAGTTGTTTTTTTTTTTTAACTGGTTTTCTGAACCCACTCCCGTATTCTCCTCATTGTCTTAGGACAGTTCTGTTGAGATATGCCCTCACTCCTCTTTCTAGTGAAGTGTTACCACATGCTGCACCCCTCCCTGCCCAGCAGCATCTGTTTTCCCTTGTGCTGAGACTTCCTTAGCACACTCCAGCACTCACTTGCATCAGCTCCACAATGGCCACAAGATCTGCCAG